GAAGGTCAGGAATGTTGAGGCTTTTTCAGTTCATATGATGCACTGGCCCACTAAATCCAGGTCCTGCTGTTGTTGGCATATTATCACTTCTATAAACTTACCAAGCTGTGTCTTAAAAGCTATTATATTCTTCTTTGTCCCGCTTACATCAGGTGGAAGACTGTACTAACCATAATAGCTGTCACTTTGCAGAACCAAAGCCCAGGTTTCTGATGCAAGTAGCCACAGGCCTGGCAGGCATCTAGGAGTACATTTCTATTTCTGCTGATGCTGCCCAAAGTGTTTTTTGTTTTTTTGTTTTTTTAACAAACATGCCAACAGCCATGTCTTCTTCCCAGGAATTCAAGAAGGATATAGCTGATCACCAGACACTGACAGAGAGTGTGTTACGCCAGGGTGGAATCCTCCTCAGATGCATGGCATCAAATTCACCAGGTAAGGAAAGCTGAAGCCAAACTGTGGCAAATCCCTCAGAGTGAGAGACGATAGACTTTCCAGAAGGTTGACAGAGTTGCTGGCTGCAGCATCCCTGCTCCAAAAGCCATAATTTGACAAAAATAGATTTTGTTGGTGAGGTGGGGGAGAATCCACAGCCTCGTCCAGATTAATTGAAGCTTTAAAGAGTGCATGTTTTAAAGGCTGCATGCTACAGACAAATGTGAGCAGTAGTGAGTGTTTTTTAAACCAGGGCTATTTATCGGTGACGCTGAACTGCAGGGTTAATGAGAGCTTTTACTTACCCAAGTTTGGCAGCCAGACCAACCTCTTGGTGATGGCAGATAACTTCAGTCATTTGACTACATTGCTCACAAACAAGCCTGAAGCTGACAGTCAATTTTAGGCTAGTGTCATCCTCTCCTTACAGCACCTCTTCTTTGTGTCATTTGTCAAAGGTATTTGTCAGTTGCCTGGGTATGTGGGAGATCCATGTATTTATGCTTCCTGCCAGTACCTCTGAATAATTGTCTCTTGCACAGGCTGTACTTGCCAACTTCATCCCCAGCAAATGCGCAGCTGGAGGCTCCTGACAGATTACCCAATGGCAGTGCCCCTGGCTGCCCTGAAATTTGCAGTGACAGCAGCAGAGGATGATTTGTCCTCTAATTCATAAATTGATCGCCTTGGCTGCTTCCTTTCCCTTCCTGCAGACTGCTCCTTCCTCTCCATTATTGACTTACATTGCAGCAGAGCTGATCAAACCACATGTCCTTTCTCTAATACAGTAATGCAGCAGCAGTCAACTGTAGCTTTGGTTCCCAGCCACCATTCCCTTAGAATCGTAGGAATGCAGGATGGGAAGGGGCTTCCTGGGTCACCAGGTCCAATCCTCTGTATTCGGAAGCTGTCTTTAACCAAAGGAATCCCCAGAATTGCCACTGCAAGCTCTTGCCTCCAACTGCAAGGACATATCCAAAATGCCCAGACACCCTACAAATGTAGCATAGGTAAAAACAGGGTAGATAAGGGCACTGCTTTATACCCTGCCACTTCAGAATCAGGGAAGTAGTTAGGTATTACAGACTTGGAGAATCCTTTAGTTTTTTCTAAGGATTTGATGGCTGTGGCATAGCAAACTGCCACTGAGCTCTGGTTTGGTTTATAGATCTTGTGATTGCAACTAGGAGGGGACAGATGGCTTCCATTGCATCCTTCAGAGTCTAAGCCTGGCC